TGAGAGAGAGAGAGAGAGAGAGAGAGAGAGAGATATTGTAGTAAAGTAGAAATGATAAAATATTTGAGCTAAATATATCATAAATGAATTTCATTAAAAATTTATCAATAAATCAAATGCAATGGACAGTTACCTCCGTTGTGAAAGTGTGTATGTTTTTAATAAAACATTAACAAAAATAATATTGGGTTTAATAAAGTGATATTTTAGTGAATCAAACAAATTGACCTTATATTGCAAGACTAGGCTTGATAAAACTTTATAATAATTAATGGTTGCACAATTTGTGCTATACTAATGATTTCAAGCAACATTTGTTTCAATTTATTCATTAATAAGTAATGGTTTAACGTTATTCCTATCAAAACGAAACTCTTATATGTTTGTCACTTCATTTGTCAATTGATTAACAATTTCTCAACAAAACTTTAACAACTCTTATGAAATAGTATCCAATAAATCAATACATTATATCGATTAAGTTTATGGCATTGATAATAATTTTAAGTTGTAAGTTAATAATTGTTTCAATTTTTGTATCTATGAGGTATTACTATTTTTAGCATATCATTAGAATTACATAATAATACTTGTAAATATTGTACTAGTACCATATAACCTATGAATGACTTCTAATATAACATTTATAATTTATATACTGCATTGTATATAGAGAAAGCATGATTTTATATGATATATTGATTGAGTCACGAATTGAAACATTTCTTTGTGTTTTCAGACATAACCCCACGATATGTATCTGAAACTAATGAAAATATAATGTCAATGACTGACTGGTTGTAAAGCATATAAAAATTGTAGACAAATAGTACGACCGAAGACTCGACACAAATCTCAAAACAAGAGTTTTCATTATACATAAGCCTCTCAATAGTAATAAAAATATTATGTTTCACATGAATAAGGATTCAAACCATTGAATACTGACTGCACAGAGAAGTGTAAGGAATGCAAAGAATTGCATTGAATTGGAGAACAAAAAGCGCTACAAATGCTACAAATTTTCTATTAAAGCCGTGTTTGCAATGCTTGACAGTGAGTGATGCCTACAATGGTATTGATTATGTGAATGGATTGAGTGTCGGCACAGAAATAGGTCGACCGGCAAAGAGGTGGGGCGGCCGGGGGTTGCGATCACTACTGATTTGTGCGTTGAATGCAATTAATCGCTGGGAATGTACGGCAAGAATGCGACAGAATGTGGAAACGAGTGTCGATTTCAACTTCAATTAATAATACTGTCGACCGATATATCGACATATTTTCGCTCAAATCACACAAACACTTACTCTTAGGGTTTGACTCAAAACGATTCGCACAAATGAAACACATGTAGTATTCATAACCGTATTGAATGACAAGTGACCGAAAATATTAGGCAAAGAGTGATTGGAAACGACAATAAAAGCCGTAAATTGATTGTCTCTTTCATATGAAGTGTTGTATGTATTGAGCAAATAGTGATCATATGTTTACCTCCGTATAGACAGCCGTATTCATCGTCAGCTGTGATTCGGAGACAATCGTTGAATCCATTGCACGTATAGTTGGCACCAATACAGCGCTCGACTACCTTTCCGCTCTCCGATAGAGTACAGGCGACTGTTGTCGACCTCTTGCATACACTCAGACCTAATGAGACAATAAATGAATGATTAGATGTCATAGACTACATAGTTTTAAATATTTTGCTAATTTACTTATTATACTGTACTATACAATTGACTTATCATAATTTGATTTGAAAATTTTTAATTTAATAAAACAATTAAAAATAAATTGATAAATGTTGTTTGTGATAATGATATGGAATTTAATTTAGATAATTATGAGTTCATTTTCTACTATAATAAACAATAAATATAAATCTCATTTGCAATTCAAATAAAAATTGTTTTGTTAATAATTGGACTATCATGTTAAATATTTGATTTAAATAAATTATATATTAGATTTGTTAATAATATTCCCCAGTCTTAATCCATTGAATAATAGTTATATCCAAATATTAGATTGTGAAATATGTCAAAAGCCAACTTAGATTTGTTTTAAAAATTATTATATTTATATTTCCAACAAAATTAATTATATTTGATATGCGAATTTATAATAGAAATTTAAAAATAAAACAAATTATATAAAATATTTAAAAAATATTATAGATAAATAATCTTGAATCTCAGCGAATGTCTAAAAAAGTTAATTAGATTACATTTAACAAAATTGTTATAATTAAAAATCAATATAAAACTCGGTTAATATTAATATTTTAAATATTTCACAAATATTAATAATGGATTAAATGTAGTAATATTTAATAAAATCTAATTTATATAATAGATACTTTTAATGAATAAAATTTAGGATATTGTATGAAAAAACAAATTCAAATGATATCTATTTTTAGAGTGAAATTTCATTATATTCAGTGATTTCGTTATTATAATATAAATACCATAAAAAGGTAATATTATATCATATACGGTATTATGGGAATGAATGCGAAAAGTGTGTGTAATATGAGTTGCAAATCAATAGTTGATGTTTAGTATAGCATTAGATCTGAGGGATAATTATGAAGACATCCAAACTTATTAGAGATTAGTTTAATTTGATATAAGATTAAAAATCAATAGGACTGCAGTCGAGGCACACATTTAGCCATTGAGAAATGGATGGCTATAGAAAATGGCTTAAAAGGGCACACCATTCAGTGCCCATTATCACATATAAAGACAATTTTGTGCTCATCAAGCCATGAATGACCACAAAAAGTAGTAAAACTTCCATTAAAACAACTCGAAAGCAAAATACTTCATAAAGACAATGCGAAAACAAATGAGAAGATATTTGTTGGTTATGAAAATGCATTAGATTTTTGTTTTTAATTATCCACTCCTTTCCTATTTCGTATCAAACATAATAAACATCAATAACTTTTCATATTTTTTTTATATCAAAACCACTATTAAATACTTAAAGCAATGCTTTGGTATTCGGTATTAGGCTAAGAATAGGTCGCCTATTAATATCTATTTATAGTCTGAGATATCATTTATAATTCAATTCTTAGTTAGCGATCACTCAATGAATGGTTCATCAATTGTTAACAATAAAGATCTGAGATAATAGTTATAAAAGTCCGACCCTTTAGGCCAACGGATGGACTGATATTTATGTTATGAATGACTGGAATGTTTGGCCAAAACTCACAAATAAGTTACAAATAAATCACACAAACGTTATCTTCCAATAGAAATATAAACAGAGAATTTGTGTCAAAATGTTGTGCAAAATGTAGTGAAATAAACGTTTGCAATGATCTCAACATAAATCTCATTATAATTTCAAAAATCATAAGAAGAAAACGACTTTATTTAGCAATTTTGTGGACAAAACCTCAAAATATAATATTATATTGAGTGGCTTTATATAAAACATTTATAACTTGTTCACTAAAAGTCATTAAAGTGTTTTGAAAATCCCTTTTATATTGATTACAATATTTTCTCTGTTAGGTCTCGTTTTTTACTTTTTCTTTGAAATTTCAATAATACAAGTCTTATGTTTAAATAACAGACATAAGGCATAAACCGAGAGAAAAAAGAAAAGACATTTGTTTAGCCAAAAACCCACTAAAATGAAGATTAAGTGTAAGTGAAGTCGAAAGTGTGGTATTGTTTGTAAAAAAGTAAAATATATAAAGGATTTGGCATATATTGAGCAGACATATAGACAAACATAACGGTGTCTTACCATTAATAAGTGTGTAATAATGGCTGCACTGGTCGGGCAGCTCGTCCTCACAAGTACCGGCACAGTCACATATGGTGTCGCACAGGTTGCCTTTTGGAATGCACCGGGAGTTTGAGCACCGGTACTCATAATTAGTACAGTTGCGACCTGAAAGGCACAAACATTAGATATAATTAATTATTGGCTAATTGCAAGTAAAGACATGAGACACGAGTGGTATTTGTCATTCTGGAAATTCTTGTCACTAATATGACAGATAAAACAAAGGAATATTCTGTGATTGATATCAAGTGTTTTGTTAGTATCATAAATGGTATCATAAATAAAATTCTTTGCCATTGAAAAGATTTCCTCATTTTATTTAATAACAACTGCACTGTATATCGAAACTCTGCATTTAAATACCAAACAATTGATTCATATAATACATTAAATAAGAGATTCTTGTAAATTACAGTAAACTAAGATATAATATTATGCATTCGTGAATTCAAATCAGTTTCATTGTATAGTTCAGTGAAATGACATGCATTCATATGCTAAACAGTTAGCTATGGATGTCATTAAACTATTTTATATAATACATACTAGTGTTAATTCAGAAAATAAAACAGACAAACTATATTACTGACAAACAGTGAATACATCTGAGTTTGTATTTTAATTTAAATATATTATACAAACTTTATTCCATTCAATTTATCTCAAAGTCCTAAACGTGTCACAAATTCACTAAATCTCTCATTTTCTTAAAACTTTGCGATAACAAGAGTACAAAAGAAATGCTATAAAAGTAAAAACCCATCTATTAGTGAGCGTCCATCAGAAAAAGTGTCTATTTTAGGCAATTATTGACACTAAAACTTGAGATGAAAACTAAAATAATAGAAGTGAGTGTTAAAAACACTATAAAATAAAAACACGGATTCGTTTTCAATCAGTTTATTTGCTTAGTTTCTTTGTCTATTTTAGGCAATTATTGACACTAAAACTTGAGATGAAAACTAAAATAATAGAAGTGAGTGTTAAAAACACTATAAAATAAAAACACGGATTGCAAAAGTTAGTCAAATAAACGAATCAAAGATTTCACAAACTAAAGTAACCACAGTAATAAAACTCACGTTTTTTGAGATGCAAGCGATTTTGTAATATTAACTACTGTTATAAACAGTAATTATAGGTACGAGTTGACACTAATTTCCGAGAAATAAATATTTGGCATTATCTCCACTATTAATTACGATATACAAAAAACCTCATAAAATATACAAACGTTTTATACAGAATACTACAGAATAAATAATATGAATTCCACTGAAATACACGATTTTATCGCAGAAAAAATAATCATAGAAAAAAATCCATGTTTTTATGTTTGGCTAATATAGCAAGACATTTTGCTTGTATTAGTACTACTCATTAATAATTTAAGAGAATTTTAATTAAATTAATTCGTGTGATATGTGAGTAATGCTTTAGGAAAAAAAGCAATAAAATTTGATATAAAACATAATAAATATAATTAAATATGAATGACATTTGAAAGATACAAAACTAAAAGGAAACTCACAATTCTGTTCATCGGCGTGATTGTCCTCGCAGTCAGGCTTTCCGTCACACCTGTCCCGTGAGATTTCAGACATTTGTATTATATTTACTCGTATGTGTTGTTTAATTATATTCTTATGTTTCATATAATTATTTGATATTTAGTTTAATTATTGATTTTGTATCAGAGTGTCAAAAATGTTTACTATTTTCGCAGTTTTATTGATATTCAATACTCACCACAGACTTCGGTGAATCAGATTCCCGGACCCGCACTGAACGAAATCTGTCAAATAATATGAACAAGATATTTTAATACAGTATAAAAAGTAATTTTAGAAAATTGTTTTCTTATCTTTAATATTAATAACAATAATTTTACTAATAAATCAAAATTGCCATATGTTTGAATAAGTTTTAAAACTCTTAAGAATTTAGTAATTGAAATTACGGTATAAATATTAAATGTATTCAGGCTTAAGTGCTAGAGTATTATCATTTAATCAATCAAAACATTTAATAATATTGAAATTTGTTTGATTTCATGAATTTAAAAATCACTTTTTAAAATAAACTGCAAATGACTAACACAAGAGTCTACGGGGATTTGCACTTCAATGGTGATAAAAGTAAAAAAATAAAGCCACAAATAGACTAAATTATTTAAATAAATGTAAAAACATAAATTGAAAAGACAAGTTAAATATTTTTATACTTAAAGAAAAACAAAAGTTTATAAAAATAAGCGAAAAACATGTGATTTTATTTTTTTCTCTTTTATTTCCCACTCGATCGCAGTACAAAAATACAAAACACATAACACATTGAAAATTGTTTATCTGAAAAAAGGTTTAGCCAACAAAAAATATGTCACAAAAAAATGATTCACAAAACGAGATTAAAAAAGTCGTCGATATCTTCAATAAAAAAAATCTTTCAATAGGAAACTAAAACTTTAATTTTGTGACAATTTTTTCTTATTGAAAAGTGTTTACTACTTTCACTTACAGTAAATGCTGTCAATATTTAATGAAAAATTTCTTATTTCTATTTTAATTGTCAAAATGTGACAAATTTGTGGCAAAACGGTACTTATGGACACCCTTCCGTAGAGAAGAGCAGCGACGGCAGCTACGTGAGCAAAAACGGCAATGTCTGCCGTATCCGGACTTACGTGACTGGCGATAGCGTGCACATAAGGGGCTTGGTTGTCGCGCGATGTGCTACACAAATGCCAATGAAATCCAATAAATCACTTATAATATGATATATAGTCCGGGGATTTCAATCCCATTAATAGCATTGGATTCACTCGTTTTTTCTCACATTCATTCATAACATTAAATGCGATTTTGATTCAAAAGAGATTACTTTTATGTATTTAAAGGTTTTTATTTTTTTGCGCAATGTTTAGTGTGTAAATAGTGGGAAATATTTGTAATATTAAATAAATAAAATAAATATTTACAACAATAAAGGACTGCTATTAAATAAATGAACAGGTACTATTTTCTTAGCTAATGTCTAGACTTCCGTGACTGCAGCCATGTATGCCATACGATTCAATGACAATAAACATTGAATGGGTTTCTGATAAATATAAGCGAAAAAATCGATGAAAACTCCTTTTCGTCTCAATCGCGAAGTCATAAGAATTTTAAAGATTAATGATTTACTGAGCAAAGAGTGACACGATTTTAGCGTTCACTACAATATTAAGGCCTCAAAAGTGATACTTCGACGAGATATTGGTCACAAAAAATGAAAATATATTTGATTCAACAAAAATCCTAAGCTTTTTATAGTTTAAACAAAAATCGTGAAACTATTGTATATTTCGCAACTAAATCTCTTTTTGAATCCAGTATCATTTATTTGACCACTGGATATATGATATTTAATATAGTTTTTATTATTAAATAACAAAATTGACCATATCCATATTTCTTATGTTTATTTTGAAAAGTTTTGTTTTCACTATTTTGTTATTTTTAAATCATTAATTAAAGTTTAAGAGAGGTAGTACTAATTAAATAAGTTAATTAAATAACACTTACAACATAGAGATTCATCTGAATTATCGCCACAATTGTTATGGAAATCGCAAACATTTTCCAAAGGAATGCAGTAATGATTGTCACACTTATAGTGAGTGACCGGACAGACGTATCCCTCTGTTTTCAAAAAACAAATTTATGTTTCAAATTAGATTAGCATTAAATTCAGCAATATCAGATATATTCTCATTGAAATGTGTACACTTTTATTAAGTTACATTCATGTCTATATGTAAACTACATTAACATACGAAATATTAGTATTTTCATATTTCGCTAAATATAATTATGTTATTACACTATAAATCAAATTTTATGCTTTGCATTGAGTCTATTTTTCAATTATTTGATATGCAAAATCATAATACATAAATGTATTTTCCCAATATTGTGCTTAATTTAATAAATATGCAAAGTTGTTTTTAAATTCTATTAATACAAAACTGTTTTTACAAAAATATTTAATAAACCTAAATTTTCGTTTCGTATATAAGGTTATTAAATGTTATTTTTAGATTTACAATAAAATAAACCAATATTGATATATCGACACAAGTCATTGACCTCTAAGCTATGTAATCAATAAAAATTACCAGTATTATTATTATAAATATGAAAACAATTAAAATATGCTTTACAATATTATTACAAATAATTATCTATATAATTTACAATAAAGGTAATGATATAAAAATGGATTTTTAAAATAACCAAGTAATTTACAAAGCAATATTTTCAAACAAAAATACCAAAGGTATATTTGATATTTCACTGATAATAATTCAACTTAAAAGTAAACTTATAGACCCTTAAGTTGAATTGATGCCAGTGACTTAAATTGACTGTTAAATAAAAATGTAAAGGAAAAATATCATTATTAAATTTTAAAAATTAAAAATAAATAATAATTAAAGAATGATAAATATTTTATAACTTTCTTATGATATGTAATTTATTATGTGGTTCACTGTACAAAAGTCATAATAAAAAGTCTATTTAACTATAATATGAGTTAAGTAGTGAAAAGCACAGTATTATACCAAAACTTCACGTAAAACAAAGCAATCATTTGAATGAAATAATCGATAAAAACTCATTAGTAATTGTTTTATAAATATAATTTCATGTAGTATTTAAAGCATATTTATGTTTATATTTTTTTAAACCCTATTATATAAAACACCTATTTAGGCCTCGATATAAATATGGCAATATGATTATAAATATCGAAATAAGCTGATTAAATGTGATAAATGTATTTATAATGAATAAAATAATAAATTATATATTTTTCATTATTCTTATAATAGATATAAAACAATGTCTCTAATCAATGATTTAACACACGT